GCCGCGTCCAGTACAACTCGTCGATTCTCGGCGACACGATTTCCAAGCTGGGCGAAGTGCACCGGTCGGCGTCCGACATTCCGCCAGTGGTCATTGCGCGCTGCCAGTTCCTCCTCGGCGCCGGCCGCGGCCACTTTAACATTCTTAGCCTCAACTGCGAGCACGTCGCCAACTGGTGCAAGACGGGTCGGCTCTTTGCCAAGCAGATCTTTACGTCCGGGCCGACGTCGATCCCGTACGAGCGCCAGCGGTCCGTGTCGCAGCACCTCGACTCGCTCGTCTCGCAGGTTCACAAACTCAAGGACGAGTACCGGCTGACGCTCGAGACGCTCTGCTCGCGTTTGAACAGTCTCGACCCGAGCACGAACCAGCGGCGGCGCGTCTATCTCAAGCTCAAGGACACGACCAAGTACGTTCAAGTCCGCGGCAACCTCTTGTACGTCGTCGAAGTCGACTTGGCCGAGACCGAGCCGCTTCTGCGGAACCTTCCGTCGCCGTTCTATGCGCGCGCCGAGCAGACGGACATCAACACGATGAAGGTCACGTTCGAGGACGTCTCGAGCGGCCGTCTTGTGTGCTCCAAGGCCAAGTGCGTCAAGCTCATTCGGCCGCGCATCTACCACCGCGAGAACCTCTTCCGCTTCGAGTACGCGTACAACGGCGAGCTCCAATCGCGCCGCCTGCGCCGGTGGTACGTGGGCGTGCAACCCAAGGACGGTCTCCTCCGCACGTCGGCGACGCGCGACTTTGCGTCCGAGTTTGAGCTTGTCGACGCCGACGCGCTTGATAAGGACTTGGACGCGAGCGAGTGCAACCTCAAGCTGACGTACACAAGCTCGTCCGAGCTCGACGACCTCGACGACGATGACGACGAGGGCGAAGACGACGAAGAGGACTCGGACGACGGCGACGACGGCGAAGACGACGTCAAAAGAACCACGTAGCACTTGTCACTGCTGTAGGATTAACGTTATCTATTACCGAGGGAGCCTTGTTCGTCTGTCCCAAGGATACCTATTACGTCTCTTGATCGTCAACCGCATCGGTTCCGTGCCTCTGACAGCCCACCAATCTAGCGCCCACTGTCCGGCTGCTACACCAAGCACCATCTACGCGTCGTACTGACTGGCCGAAGTGCCGTCGTCTCGACCGAGATGATCAGACTGTCACACATTGATCTTTGCCACGCCCCAGCTCGCGGTTGATACCACTCGACGGGTGTTTGGCGCAAGGTGAGCTGGATGTCCATGAGCTCACTCATGCGCTCTGCATCGTGGCGGTGCTCACGTTCTGATGAAATTGCTCGATTTCCCTCGGCGCTCCCAGCCTCAGCACTGTTCTCGACAAGCTCCACTGCGACCCGCAGCGGGCTTTGCTCCATGCACACGCACAGTCGCGCCGACCAGCGACAGCTTGTGCGCTGCATCTCTCCAAATAGCAGCACGCTGCGCTCCCTCTCTCCAAGTTGCTATGACGGTGGAGTGAAAAGCTTGTCCAGTCCTCGGCTGTCAATTCGGTCGTCGAGCCGAGTCCTTCACAATCGTGCGCAAGCGTGTAAAACCGTCGAAAACATCTGTGTCCAGCGTCCAAAATTGTCCGTTTTGTACTAGTTTAACGCAGTATAACGTTGGCATTTTTCCATTTAACCCGGCCAGATCCTTGGTGCAGCTCGTCAATTACATCCCGACAACCGCGCTGGTAGCGCTCCAAGATGACATCGGCGCTCACTCGATGACGCGGGCGACTTTTTTTGATTTTGCTCAAGTTCCCGTTGTCGCCCGAAACGCGGATGACAACACGGTCGCGATGGGCCAGGCGGGTGCTGTCTTGCTCTGGCCACCGTGGCCGATCCCGACGCCCGCTACCGCCTTAAGCCCGTCGACTTGACGACCGTTGTCGACAGCAACGGTCTTTTGGTTCTCGTGTCCGACATTGCGATTGCGACAAAGGACCCCCATCGTCGGTGACGGTTCTCGCTTCTGCTCCATGCTCAAGTTTCTCGACAAGGTCGTCAACAACTCGATCGCCACTTTTAACAAGGGTTTCGAGACGACAAGTAACCTCGACCCAGGCTCTGCCGTTCATTGGACGAAGACAGTGACAGCATGCGTGCGAGACATACCGGTAGCTCCACCGAACCCACGGTCATGGAGTCTTTCAATTAACAACAACGAATACTGACAACGATGTGTTTTGTCTTTTCATTTACTGTCTTTGTTTCTTATTTGCGTCGAGTTGTGGCACGACCTTCTTGGAATATAAACTTGGTGCTTGCCTCGTCTTCCGCTTGGACCAGGCGGAGGGACCGCGTAGCTTGACCACGGAGCTTCTTGCACCGATCGCTCACATCCGTCAACAGCGGAAGTGTGCACGCAGAGGCGTTTTGCGTCGGGCTACACATGATCACGGCTATAATTTGATGGCCTTGACAATGTATTTATGGCCGTGCGATAGAGTGGCTTGGTTTGAAATGACCAAGAACCGGCGGGTCCCGGCGACGCCGGACGCGCTTGACGACTTTGTCCTCTCTGGCTGGAGCAACGACGACAAGACGCTCGGCCTCGCGTCAACGTGGCCACAGCGACAGAAGCCCAAACCAGCGCAGGTGCCACCGCCAGTGCGCACGGACGAATCACCACCGTCGCCGACGCGGATCTCGAGCCTCGTGGATGCCGGGCGGCTTCACATGTACAAGCTTACCGTGCCGAGGATATACAGCAATGCGAATGCTGGCGCGCGCAACCCGGGTGGTGACGGCGACTGGACCACGTACATCGCCAAAGGTAGGCGCTCCGTGCTGGAATGGAGACTGTATCAAGATGGTCGTCTAGTGGACTTTGACGCTGATACGATCCCAGACGAGGTCCTGGCCAGCACCGATCCGCTGCAGCCGAGTTGTCTCTCCAAGAACGCGGCACCAATCAAACCCGTCAAGTCGAGCAAGAAGACGCTTCAGGAGCTGCATCCTGGTCTCAACCGTGTCTGGCCCTATTCGTAGCCCGAGCGTGCTACTTGTTTAACTTATTTTGATTTCGGGGCCATCGACTACCTACGCAGGAGGAATCGTTGACGGAGCATTCTGTCTTGTATCTCGTGTATAAGTGCCTTCTTCTCTTTCAAAGCTGTGCGAAGGTTAATGAAGACGTTGTCGGTATTTAAAGCCAACGATATCGATGTAGTGTCTGTGGCCGACTGACATTGTTCCTTGTTGACAGGTAGAGAGCTTGGAAGCCTCGGTGCATCGTTGCAAGGGCTTGGGCAAGGAAGCACTCGACACCATTGCAACACGACAACACGTCTAGCAGAGCCACTCCTGTCGAGCACCGTGGTGTCGCCGCCACGAAGTGGGTTGGAGACGAGCACACGACGCAGTCCCAACGACGGCTCGAGTCACGGGATAGATACGTCAAAATACGGGCCAGCAACCGAGCCGCAGCACGACCAACGACCCTCGCACATCATTTTTTTACGAGTACGAGCACAATGCACACACGAGAGCAGCTAGCTCTAGTATGAAACGTGGAGGGTGGTTCTTCCGTTGCATACTGCGTGGAGCACGTGCCGAGAACCTTACTTGCACCAGTGAGCCGAAAATAGCGCAGGCAAGGAGCGCCACGATGCGGGGCAAGGCGGCTGGCCGTGGGACCGACCCGCCGCTTCTGAATGACGACAACGACGACGAGACCGACGACTTGGATCTCAACAGGTGGTGCGATCCTGACATGGACGACCAGCTCGACTTGCTAGTGCTCGACGATTGGTCACGCCCACTGGCCATCACCGAAAAAGAGGCGGCGCTGCGCGCCCAGCGAGATACGCTCCGGCGCCTCCAGCGCGAAGCCAAGCTCAAAGCCGAAGAGAAACCTCGAAACGAGAGCTTTAAACCAGCGGGTCGCCGGCCACCGCGACCCAAGCCAGACGAGAGCGTCTGCACGAATCTCCCCGCGCAAAGCAGTCAACTTTCAGATGTTGCGAGTCGTCGGCCCCAAGCCATTTTGCACCTTTCGGCGCCGCCGCTGCACTCGATTCCGATCGCACTCCGAGATCTCGAGAACGATCGGATCAACCTCGCGCTCGACCATCCGTCCGACGCGCTCTTAGGTACCACCTGCTCGGCCAACGCCGTTGTAAAGTACGCGTATAGTGGCCTCCTCTTCAGCCGAGCTCCAAATGGTCGAGGCGCTGCGACAACCGCCATCGTCGATCCTCCTCGAGCTGCCACCGACGCGCGAACGGGACGCGCCGCTTCGACCGCTGCAGCCGTACCACCCGCTACGCAAAGGCCTGAGCTACGCCTCCGGTGCGCCCGTGCTGCGAAAGCTCGAGCAAGACCGACTCGATGCCGCGTTGAAACCAAAGGGCCGCCGGTCGCTCGACCTCATTGACGGCGATCCGTCGTTGCGGATGCGCGCGGTGCGCAAGATGGACATTGAGCGGCAGATCCGTCAAGTCAAGTCGTGTTTGCGCAACTCGATTGCGACCAAGAACGTCGAGTCACAGCCCAACT